GTCAAAAAATGGATTGGTGTGAATGTGCAACCTCCTTCACTTGCTGACCTGTATGCGAAGAGAACCAAGGCCGTTTGGACTAAAGCCAAATCGGTTGGAGACCTTCTGCATAACCAAAAGGCTTTCGCACAGTGTAGCAGTTTTGAGTGGTTTTGAGTGCGCCTGTGTTGACCTTGACTTGCCTCAATGTGGCGGGCATGTCGCAGTCAAGCTCAGTGAAGTGGATGACATTCATCCTTTTTTGTTTAACGCAAAAAATGTGCCTTTCCCTGGCACTATTGCTACTAAGGATGGTCTCAACAGAGCCTGTAATGATGCATTAAATTGTCTACAAAAAATGGGACTGATTCAAACCCTGTTTCGAATCAACCCATTGGGAGTTACCAAGAAAGGCCTCCCCAAACCGGTTGGTTGTGTTCTAAATGAATATGTCGTGGGTGTCAAACAAGTTTTTTATGGGTTGGTCTTGTCTCCTCTGGATCGGAACCCTGGGGAAACCTGGATCGAGTGCCCGAAAAGGTATGAAGAAGGGTTAAAGAAGATGTTCCTTGAGAACACGAACTACGAAGTTGTGATGAAGGAGAAAAGTGTTGTGTTGCTGGAACTCCGCGATGCTTATAAAGCTGACAAGCTGTCTGAAGCTGCCAGTTGGGACTCGCACGATGTACTGCAGCATGCGTACATCATGCCAAAAGAAAAAGACAAAGAAAAGAGGAGACCCATTGTTCCCTCCTATCTTAGTCCTTTCCGCTCTGCTTCTGGTGTGCTGTCCTTAGGCTTGAATGAACTAATKAGGAAAATCCACGTCCCGCACTTCAATCTAAGATGTCTGAATGATCTGAGTGATGAAATCCGAAAGGTGAATCTGCGATGTGAGAAAACTGTTGACCTCAAAATCTTGGCCCGTACGTATGACATCAAAGAGATGTTCACACAATGAGATTCGCCTCGCCGTTGAATGGGTGGTCAGTCTGTTTTCTGAATGAGGAATAAAATGGTTCAGATTTAACAGTCGGAAAAAGTTAGTAACGTTTGGGAAATCACACAGGGAATCAGGTTGGAAGTCTCTGAGGCTTAACGAACTGATTTCCCTGACCAACTTCCAATTGAAGAACACCTTTTTTCTTGTTTCCGACTGCATCCTCAGACAGAAGAAAGGACTCCCTATGAGTGGCCGGGCAAGTCCTCCACTTGCCTGTATTATGTGTATGTTTGCAGAGTCCAAGTTCATTCGGTCCCTCGGGACAGACGCTAGGCTCATAACTGGGAAACGGTACATAGACGATCTCCTTCTCTTTTCTTTCTTCCGTGACAATGACCAGGAAGGAGAAAAGAAAGTTGAAGAAAGACTTGACCGGATTCTCGCTTGTTACTCTGCGGAGTTAATCCTGGAAAGAACTGACCCTGGAATTGGCGTTCTGGATTTTTTGGAAACCAGACTCGTCGTTACGAATGGTGTTATTTCTGTCCTTGCTTCTCATAAATTCAAAAACGCCGGAACCATTTGGTCCCCTGGGGACCTACGACTCCGCACCTTTAAAGACTTCTCATCTTTTCGCCCAAAAGCAGCTAAATTCGCTACAGTGGCCAATACCATCCTAAGGATCTCACAGAACTGCAATGAAGAAGGCCTGATTTGCTGTGCCGTTTTATCCCTTGCGGAGGAACTCCGAAAGCACGCCTACCCTGCTGCTGTTGTTGTCGCAGGTATACAGTGGATGCAACGCAGGGACCCCGTACCACTATGGGGTAAGCTCGTGCGCCTAATTAAAATGCTGAATTTTTCTTCGTCCTAACTTGGACAATGGGGTATCCCATATGCATTTTCTGGGTCGCACCGGGCAGTATCGGACATTTCAGCGAATCTGATCTATTAACTCAGACAGTGTGGTATCCTTTGGATTGAGACTGGTTTTGCCATCTGCGGACTGCACCGCGCAGTGATTTTTTTTTTTTTTTCGGCGGCAAAAATATGTACTTCTGGCTCTCCGTGACCTTCTGGACCTGCCTCAACGCAGGCAGTTGGTTGTCGTTTTCAGATTCAAGCACGTGCATCTCGGCCTCCTGCCCATATGAAGACGAAGCATGGTTTGGCTGCCTTTGCAGTGGCCCGATTACAGGACCAGATATCTGATATCCTGACGGAAACTGCTAGGACTTAGTCTGCGCATGTATCGAGTATGAATGCGGCCTCTGTGAGGGTGGCACGACCAAACGTTTTTTGGTACTGGTTTCTGATACTTACGGGTACCGGGAGTGTGGTACGTGCTACGAGTTGAGCACCCAGTTGTACGTACAGTAAAAACTAGTATAAAGTAGCGTAGGAAGTAGGAAGTTATGCCTCAATCTGAGTGGCGAATGAGTGGAAGGGTTGAGTATGTCGCAGCTGGTGTGAAGCTGAGACCGTCGTTGAAGGAGATGACGGCGCCATGATACTAAAGCTCACGTTGTCTTCTTTATTTTATAATTCCATAATGTGTTAATCTTTTCTCATAATGAAGATGATTTGGGACGACAGGAATAATCAATTGTTTCGCCGACGTTTCATGTCTGATATTCAAGTTAAGAAGCAGATTACTTCAGAGATCAGAAGAACGATTCACTGTGACTGGCAAAGACGAACGACAAGAGGAGTAAATCCAAACCAACGGAAGTGGTTCTGGGATACTTGGGGAAGAGATTCAGGTTTGTCCAGAATAGATGATAGGGGAAAAAATTCCTTCTGCACAATAGGCCATAGGGAACGAATTAGTACCCCACCTTGAGCTGAGGTTTTCTTTCCCCTTCTGACTTGGATACAAGTTTTCTCAGAGCAGCTCCTGTTATCTCCTGTTTTTAAATCAGGATAAAGTCTGAAGTCAGGAAAGCGTATATTATGAGGCCGGTTTTTTTAATAGGTCTTCTGTAGAGGTAGATTCTAGGCGTAGGCCCGGCTATCCTAGAGTGCCTCTTCCTCGTCCTTTTGCTGAGCGGGAATGCTGTTTTTTGGGAGACTGTGGTTTTGATGTGGATTGAGTTGGGGGACGCTGGACCCGGTTTCCAGTTCTTGAGCCGAATCTGGGTAATGGCCCCAGTCTCCGGGTAGAATTGTGAGGTCCCTGGCCTCAACCTTTCTCATGGCAATAAATGGATACGATTCCCCCCCCCCAAAAAAAAAAAACACAGGCTGCTGCTGGGGTATATACCCCCACTGCACTGACTGCAGACTGCTGCTGGGGTTTATACCCCCACTGCACTGACTGCAGACTGCTGCTGGGGTATATACCCCCACTGCACTGACTGCAGACTGCTGCTGGGGTCTATACCCCCACTGCACTGACTGCACTGACTGGACTGGACTGGTACCCGACAGTGCTGGATTGGGAAGAAACCTGGGCTGTGGGAACAAGCTAGCAACCTGGTCCTACAGGCCGAACAGACACATAGCCTATTTATAGGCGGAGACAGGCTCAGAGGACCTCTGCTCCTAGTGTTTTTGCTGTCTATTCCTGCCCATCCTCTGTGTGTCTCTCTCTTTGGTTCCCTCCGCACTCCTCTCTCTCCCTTCACTGTTCTTTGAATTTATTCCCTTCTGCATAGGTTCACAAAGCTTGGCGCCTTTCATTGGTTTTTATTTTTTCCTAACAAGCACACTTTTTTCTGTCTAGACTGAGTTTGAGTCCCGCAGGATTCGCATGCATTGGTTTTTAATTTTTCCCCAGCCATTTTCCTAAGAGACTGAGGGCATACTCACACTAGCACGCGTTTTCATAAAATCGTAAATTGTAAATTGTACGTGATTTTTTGGGTCACAATGGCTACGTAGTTTGCATTTTCACACAAATGGGCACGTAAATGTCAGCTGCTTGGAGAGTGGCGGGGTTACGCATTTTGCGGGAACCTCTGGGCCGAGGTCCCATTAGCAAAGAGGATCGGATCGAATGCCTGAATGTGGACGTGTTTTATGAAGACATGCAGAAAAGCAGTTCAATCTCGATTTCCTGCACCCCTCGACAAACACGTCCAGATTCAGGCATTCGATCCGATCCTCTTTGCTAGTGGGACCATGCTCCTGGAGGTCCCCTAGTGGGACCATGCCCCTGGAGGTCCCCGCAATTGCGTATTTCTTTTGGACCTGTTTCTTTCCCGAAACGAAAAAAAGAATTCGGCGTTCGGCCGACAGCTCTCGTAAGGAAAAAAAAAAAAAAAAAAAACAGGCCAAAGGGATGGATTTTTAATGTTTTTTATGCATCGTGCTGTGTGACCCCTCTGCCTGTATAATCACATTCCTAGAGCAGGTCGAGACTGTGTCCTTTCTGTTTTGTGACTTATACGAGTGTGCTGTGTGACTTGGAAGTGCCGTATAATCGCAAATTGGCTCACATATAATTTGCGATTTTACGTGCTAGTGTGAGTAATAGAGTATGCCCCGAGTTCGGCTGCATGCACGGCGGCGCATCTTAGAACAATTGCTGGGAAATACGGGTGGTCTAAACCACCAGTACTTCCTAAATTCGTGTCCCCGTTAACGTGCCACAATTTTAGGAAACGTACGGGCCACTATAGGAGCGGCCAAATTCATCCGACTAGAAACGTTTCTACTCTATTTTTTTCCGCGGCCGATAGCTGGGCCAAGTACTGGTGGTTTAAACCACCAGTACCGTTCCCCGCTTGAAAGTCAATTCCGCGCCAGGTAGCATGGAAGCCAAGCGGGATCCGCACATCATTGATAAATTGAATAGGCGGCCTGTTTTCTGCTTTGGGCTTTTTTTTTCCCCGCCCGCGGCCGGTATATGGGAAGGGTACCTTTCATCTCTTTCATCTAATGGCTCTCTTTGTGGTTCTTTCCCATTTTGGAAACGGGCCATTGTTGTTCGGTCCCTTTTTTTTTTTTTTTTTTGTTGTTTGGTGCCTTTTCTTCTGCTGGCCTGGCTGGCGACCGGCCGAAGTCTGTCTGCGATTGTGATGATGTGAATTTCTGGTTGGCTTGATGATGTGAATTTCTGGTTGGCTTGTTTCAGGATAAAGAGGCAGTGTGGAAATCCCAGAGTGAGAAGAGCGACATTTTGTATTTGTCAGAGTAGGTCTTTCTCTCTCCCTCTGTGACACACACTATGGATGTATGACATTGTATGTTGAATACATCAGATCAGACCAACCTTCCCTTTCATAATTGGATTAGAAAATTCAGGAGTACTCAAGACCTGTTGATGCTTCACCCAGAAGAAGAGGAAAAGAAACAACAGATTACCTGAAGACAAACAAAGAGAGATTTCGAAAAAAGACCTCTCTCTCTCTCTCTCTCTCTCTCTCACACACACACACACACACACACACACACACACACACTGTCGGGGTTCAACCTCCTGACGAGTCGGTGAAGGTCCGATGAAACAGTCTGGTACAGTCATGCTTTTTTTGAGTGTAT